ATAGCAATAGCAATAGCAATAGCAGTTAGACTTATATACCGCTTCATAGGGCTTTCAGCCCTCTCTAAGCGGTTTACAGAGTCAGCATATCGCCCCCACAATCCGGGTCCTCATTTTACCCACCTCGGAAGGATGGAAGGCTGAGTCAACCCTGAGCCGGTGAGATTTGAACAGCCGAACTGCAGAACTGCAAAACTGCAGTCAGCTGAAGTAGCCTGCAGTGCTGCATTTAACCACTGCGCCACCTCGGTGCATGTATAGTGTTATACTTTGTTGCCTGGACATTCTGGCAGCTGTAGTGCCAATTTACAGTATCTAGGCATACTTGTGGAAGAAAGGTTACTTTAGAAGACTTTAATGGTTTTCTTCATACATAAATTATCAGAATATATTAGCTTTAGTGTTCCAAAAAGATGGAGAATCATTTTAATTTCATAAAACCCAATTCAACTAGACTTTAGTTTGTTACAATAAACTTCTTAGAACATCTCTTTTTTCTAGATGAAATTATGTTACAATGGTGATAAATTTTTAACTATACAATAGTTTAGAGCAGTTTTTTCTTATACAGAGTGCCTTAGTACTCAACTGCTTTAAACTCATCATATTTGGTATTCAAAACATTTTGATGTGAAAAATTTGTCTCGGTATTTTTGTCCTGGAACCAATTAACAATGAGTACCAAGGTACCACCGTATCTCTTAAATGCACAAATATTAAAGAATTGATGCAATCTGACAATTCTTAAGCTCTATCTAGTAGTACTCCATTTACAGTTACAATTTTGAGATACTGGAATCTTGTACTAAAGGTATTCCAGGTAAAAATATTTTCATACTTGAAATATATACAATATATATATATATATAACATAAAATCTGTGGATGGTAGATTTTGTTTAATGCTTGATGTTTGATGAACACTTTTAATACTAGGACATCCAAATAGGAGGGGGTTTACATACCAAGGCAGTAGATAATATTATTCGCCACAACCAATCCTGCACCTTCACGAGCTGTCTGCATATCTCCCAACATACTCCACTGATCAATATTTGGATCATATCTTTCCATACTGGTATGGCGTCTGCTTCCATCAAAACCTCCAGAAACATAGATCATATCTATAATATAACAAATAAGTCAGTTATTTCAAGAGAAAGGTTTTTCTTTATCACAATTTTTATACAATTTTCTTATTATATGTATTATAATTTTACTTTATTTCCAAAGCATCCCACAGTATTTTAAGTGAAATATATAAATTTATAAATAAACACAAGTACAAATGATAAACGCAAGTGTGAACTACCAAAGGGAGTAAATATTATATCAGGAATCTGTATTTTCCCTTGGCTTAGAAATCAAGCTAAACAATGTCTCTGCCATATTAAGAATCATTTGCAAAAGTAGTTGGGGCTGGGATAAATTTTGGAGTGTATAAACCCTAAGATTTCTGTCTCTGGAGGGAAAAAATAGTAATGTTTGTGGGTTACTCTGTTCAAATCTCTGTATTAAACTAATTAACCCCCTAAATCAGGAAGACCAAATATTATATACACAAGTGATTGGTTCTCCTAATATCTTTAGGGTATACAAATTGAAAATTGCAGCAAAAGGCAAAAGGTATATTTAGGACATTTAAGATAAATAGACAAAGGTGTATGCATTTTGAAAATGATTTAAAAGAAAATGATAAAAAGACTCATATTTGATAAAAGATACTGAACATGAAGATTTTGAAGTCAAACTTTCATTTATTTAATCTCTCATTCAAAATGAACTTAGACTTGCTCTTTTCATGTGTAACTGAATCCTTTAAAAAATTATGCACAAGTCAAATATAGGTATATGCTCCTCCAAACATATGGAAAACAGAGGAATCTATACAGACATTTTTCATCCCCCATTTCTGCCATGTATGTATTTTCTTGTGGGAGGTTGGGTTATTACTTTGGTTAATTATTATTGTTGGTAATATTAATATCCAACTCCTACAAGAGAAGCTGTATAAGAACTCTATTTAGAGAAGCACAAGCATACTGCAGAAACCCTGAACAGCAGAAAAAGGAAACAGATAATCTATACAACATCTTCCACAAAATGAATATTCATGTAACTTCATCATAAAGTGCCTGATCACTCAATCCAATATAGCACAATCAACTCAAGCCATAAAAAGGATAATTCCATACATCAAAAACATCTCAGAAAACACCAACAGTCTACTACAGCCACATAGAATCAACATAGCACATGTCAACTAAAGTCCTCCAAAACATCCNCTATATATAAAGTAATTTTCCCACGGCACACCTTACACTATGTCACGGCACACTAGTGTGCCGCGGCACAGTGGTTGAAAAACACTGATTTAGAGCAAATTTTGGAAAGAGCTGATCACTGGTAAGCTTGGCAAATGCTACCTCCATAGTTGAATGTATTTTTTAACGTTTTCAGGAAGCCTGCCTGAGGAAAATATTTCTGCTCAACAGATACTATCTACTAAATGTGTCTGACAGGATTTCAGTAAAGTGCTGCATACATTTCACAGAAAGATGTTGACTTTTATTTTATTTCTTTCTCTTATTTAGATTTATTCCATCTAGAAAGCATTTAGATTTTATTCCATAATTCCCTAACCCAATCAGAAATCTTACCTGAGCGTTTAGTAGCCATTGGAGTCACATTTGTCCAATGGCCTGTATGGGGATCATATCGCTCCACAGAATTTAAGATGTTTAGACCATCATAACCACCTAAATGCATACACAAGAGAAAGTGAAATAAATGTCTGATTTATATTCAGACTTGGAATAAAGAAAACCCAGAAAAAAACAAAAAAAGATCCAGGGGGGCGGGGAGAGAAGGAAACACAGAATTGTAGTCATATTGATATGCAACAATATTATATAGAGATCCTAATGTACTCACCTATATTATTTGGATGCTGAAAAAAGAAATTCTACAAATATCAGTCCTAAACACAAAAGGGCCTTTACTCTGATATGATATCATCATGTTGAAGGCTGATATAGGAAGATTCCTTGCCTGGAGAGACAATGCCCCTTGATGCTGGAGGCACAGAACTACAGAGCATATGCCTCCCCAGTGGCACTAGTCTTATCTTACCACTATTAAATAAATATCCAAGGCACCCAAGACAATTTTATACCATTCTGTTGTTTTCAGATACCAACCCTTACAATATACAATGTTTTTGGTTCTGTGCAGCAGCATTCAAAATTCATTGGATGATTGCTTGCACTATAAACTAGATTTAAGAAGCACCTCGTCTACAATATTAACTTTGTAATTTGATATAGTTTCCCACCTATTAACTCTTTATGTTCTCTTATATCCATTTAATGCTTCTATTCCTTATTTTAGAGTCTTGCTCTTTATATATACTTTTAGTTTTCAATTACATATCTTTTATAGCTAACAATCATACCCCCCTTCTTTATACTGGTCTATGATTTGATTTACAAATGCCAGCCTAGGATAAATACTGTATAGTGAATAGTAGCAATAGCAGTTAGACTTATATACCGCTTCATAGGGCTTTCAGCCCTCTCTAAGCGGTTTACAGAGTCAGCATATCGCCCCCACAGTCTGGGTCCTCATTTCACCCACCTCAGAAGGATGGAAGGCTGAGTCAACCTTGAGCCGGTGAGATTAGAACCGCTGAACTGCAGATAACAGTCAGCTGAAATGGCCTGCAGTACTGCACCCTAACCACTGCGCCACCTCGGCTCAGGATAACAGATCATGTATGCACACAGTATCTAATTATACCCAAAATTAACGATATCTGGAGAGATATAAAATATGTAGCCTATAATTCCATAAAACAAAGCAAGTGTCAGGGGTACCTAGAACATTTAAGGTTCATAAATGTTAGTTCCATAAGCACCATCTACTTACCCAGCTATGGCATAAAGCCTTCCACGGAGCACTGTTGCCCCCACGTAACAGCGGGGTGTTGTCATGCTTGTTACTGTTGTCCAAGAGTCTGTACGAATGTTATAAGCTTCCACAGAGGAGAGATGTGATGTTCCATCAAACCCTCCAACCACATAGATGTGGTCATTCAGCAAGGCTACTCCAGCTCCTGCAAAGAGAAGTAATGAAATATTATAGCAAAATAGATGGATTCCTTCTGTTAGACATTAGGTGATTATAGGAGACTGCAGAGTCTGCTTTCCATAAGACATGCTAACTTCTATCCTTGTGCATAAAAGTAAAGTAGGTGACTTTGCGGAAGTTATTCTCATAGCCTAACCCACCTCACAGGATTGTTGTTGTGGGAAAAAAAGGAATCAGGAGTACAAAGTTTTGTTTGCTGCCCTGAGCTATATAATAAAAAGCAGAATAAAAATCTAGTAATAACTGCATATGCCTTCATTTTTAACAACTGTTTTTTATATTCATGATTACTACTGAAAGTTTAAATTAATGGTAAATTAATTTGTGATGAAGATGTTATGTTGTTTCAGGGCATCAAGGAAGTTTACATTTAAAATGTCTGTTAAACATAATAGAGTGAGAAACAATAAGTGGTAAAGGGTAAAGATTGCTCTAATATGATGATTTAGAGCAGTGTTTTTCAACCTTTTTGTGCAAAGGCACACTTTTTTCATGAAAAAAATCACGAGGCACACAACCATTAGAAAATGTTAAAAAAATGTAACTCTGTGCCTATATTGACTATATATAAAGTAATTTTCCCNCCCTGAGTCCCCTCAGGGAAAAGGGCGGCCTATAAATGCTCAATAAATGAAATGAAATGAAACTTCATGAATATAGCATTTAGTAAAAGAACCTCTAAAGCCTCTGGACTGTTCTTAAGACAAAAATATAGAGAGAGACTTAAAGGTATCTGAGCCTAAGTGTTTATTTTCAGATGTTCTCAACTGTAGCATTTGCACATACTTTTCTTTCTAGACCAGTGGTTCTCAACCTATGGGTTGGGACCCCTTTGGGGGTCGAACAACCCTTTCACAGGGGTCACCTAAGACCATTGGAAAACACATATTTTCGATGGTCTTAGGAACAGAGACACCAATTTTATGGTTAGAGGTCAACACAATATGAGGACCTGTATTAAAGGGTCGTGGCATTGGAAAGCTTGAGAACCACTGTTCTAGACCAAATTTAGAACAAAGACCAAATAACATTCTTTATTTTAAATTATAAACTGCAGTATTTCCCTGGAATCTAAATGATTTGCATTTCTCCTAAGAGGTTTTATCTTTATTGTAAATTTATAGTATATTTTTGTTATACATGATGCCAGTAGAAAAGAATGAATCTAATCCCACTATCCCAAAGGTGCTTTTTCCAAAAGACAACTGGATTTTGCTAGTTTTTTTCTTTGTAAACATTTTGCTTCTCATCCAAGAACTTCTTGAATTCTGAATTGAAGAAGCTTCTTGTATGAGAACAAAATGTTTTCAAAGACACCCCCCAAAAAACTCCAATTGCCTTTTGGAAAAAAGCAATTTTGGGACAACCATGACTTGGATGATTGAGAATCTCCATAGATTCCACTCTCATATTATTGACTTAGATACAGGCATCTTTTTAACCTTTCATCCAGGCAAATAAAATTATCTTAACTGTAAAATACATTTTTAAAAAATCTGCCATTTTAATTTGTTCAAATTAATTTCTAATTGTTCATTAGAAAATAACTTTGAGATTTAGGATCTTGCAAGATGTTGCAGGAGGAAAGTTCATTTATTATTCATTATACAATATTTGATTTAATCTGATTGTGCAAGATTCAAATATTTTTACTCTAAAGTATTGTAGAAAAGAACTACATTTACAGGTTAAAGTTCACAATATTTTCCACATTAAAAAAATAGGATTGATGTCATTTGATGCTCTCATTTGTAATTGAATTGCTATAGAATTATACTGCAAAGAATATAGTCATTAGATGGCAGCATTCTGAGCACTTTTATAGAAGCATTCTTAAAATTGTCAGACATTTATTTCTAAAAAAGCTATTATCACAATAGGAAGGCCAGTATGCAGCCATTTAAAAATATGAAAATAACAAAAATGAACATAAAAACAATTCCTTTTCAAAAGCATTGTATTATCATTTTGTGAA